CCGCCCTCTCTCTGTTTTTTTTTTTTGCCTCTCTCTCCCCCCCCCCCTCAACTACCACAGGCGGAGAGGCCGCCTCAGCAACCCCGGGAAAGTTTCCAGCAGCCGCGGGAGTCTCCAACCGAAGGTAGTGATTTCCTCGCCCTCCACTCACCCCCTTTTCAGAGATGACGCGAAAGCGACCTATGTCTAGGTTGCCGGGGGGGTGGCAAAGAAGACGGGCGGGGAGGAGGAGGACCTCGGGCTGGTAGATAATGGCTCCCCCCTCCGCTTCCTCGAACGACTAGGACTAACTACAACTTCTCCCGTGACTCCTGAATTTCTTCCCTTCCCTTCCCTTCCCTTCCCTTTCTGGGACGAGGAGGAGCTTCCTCTCGCCTCGCCCGGCCTCCCGTCTCCCTCTCGTTCGGCCTGCGCTGCGGGTGTCGCGGCCGCCCCCTTCTGGCCCCGATCCTGCCGCCCCCCCTCCCCGGGAGGCAGCCTGGCAATCTCTGTGGCTCACTCGGGGGCTGGTGCCGTCAAGTTATTTGGGAAGTTTCCTTGTAATTTGACGAGACTCGCTCCTCGTCGTTTTTCTCTGGGTTTCATCTCTGCAGACGAGTGCATGCATGCACTCACCCATTGAATCTGAAGCCCGTGAAACCCACCCAATGCCGGCTAAAATGTCTTAGTTGTTAATATATTGTAAGACTTTTCCTTGGGTTTCGGTGTCACATGTTCAGAGGGCAAAAGTCTAATGCCACAATATATTTCTTCTCTGAAAACACTGCCCATGAAATCAGTGGAATTTTAGACAATTTTGATGCAGTTCTCTAAGGGTTTAGAACACTTGCAAGGCTGATTTACATTCATACATCATGGTGATAATTATATATCTCATTAGCTCTCACTAGGTGACCCTACTTTTCAGTATTATTTATTACATTTATACCTCACTTTTCCACTAAAAAACAGCACTCAATGCAAGCTAGTAAACTTCTTAAAATAATGAAAATAAATAAAACTGCATTTATCTAAAAAGAATAAAATCAAATAAACCAATTCCACAATAAAATCATTAAACTCAAGCAAACACACTAAGATTATTAAAATCAACAGAGGGTATAAGTTAAAAACACAGCAGGGCAGAGTAGACAAAAAAATGAGTTTTTTGTTGCTTTTATCAGATTTCTTGTGACATAAATGTGCCACATTAGATGGCTCAGCTTTTTTCTTGTATCTGCCACCCACAAATTATTATTTAAAACTAAAACATGAAGTGTATGTTTGGAAGCAAATTCTGTTGAAACCAGTGGGCCTTATTTCCGTATACATGTTCATAAATGTGTCTTACGTTTTCTTAATAATGCACTCCAAGTATATTTATTCAGAATTAAGGCCCATACAGTTCAGTGGGAATTACGCCTTTGCAGATGAGCATAGAATTGGAATCTCAAAGTGTTTCTCATGTGTGGTACCTAGTGTGGTGTAGTGAATAGAATGATGGACTAGGATTCTGAAGACTAGGGTTCAAATCTCCACTTGGCAGTAGAAACTCACTGGGGCAAATACTATATCTCACCTTGAAAAGCCTATCAGGGTCCAGCTTGTCAGTTCTGACTTGATGGCACGTAACTAACTATTGCTTATATCTGTTCCTTGCTTCAGCCCTCTTTCCTGACTCCCCTGACAACTTTGACTGCCTGTGCGTGAAGTAGAAATTGTCAGTGTTAGGGTAGTTCATTTTACTGATCATGACAGTCATTGATATTTAACCTATGGTATAGTTGTGGGATTATGTGCCTGGTGCTTGTCTAAATTTATAAAATCTCACTGAGTTAATTGTGATGTATTAATGTAAATCAGCCTTGCAAATATATTCACAAAAATTACTGTAAAGCAAATGTTTTTAGCAAACCTGTATTTCTCTCATATCAATATTAGAAATATACAGCCGAAATGTTTTTAAATACCACTATCTTCTGTGAATTTTTTTTCTTGGTCACCTGAGGGCAACAGTAACAGCTGGTTTCCTGCAGCAAGTATTCATGCATGATGTAATTTCCAAAGAAGCACTGTGGTAGTCCTCAGTGTGCTGACAAAATTAAGCATTGTTGCTTTATCTATTGTTTGTGTCCTCACCTGATCATGATTGACACCATCATGGGAATATGTATAAATATAGAAGAAGTGTTTTAGCGCTTGTGTTGAATAAAATGATGATCCATAAACTCTTAACATTAAATAAATCTGCGCCCACAGCGCCACCACGTCCCCTCCATAAACTCTTAACATTAAATAAATCTTTTAGTTTAAAGTGTCATAGTATTTTTCTTTCCCCCTTTTCTTTTTCATCTTTAATGTTGCCAACAAGTGTGATGTGGTTGCTTAAAACTGTGGTTTATAATGGAGTGAGTATTGTGTAGCTTTCCAAATGTTGGACCACAGTTTCCATGACCATTAGTTGTTCTCACTAGGATTTATAGCAGAACACAACAACATCTGGAAAGCCACATTCTCCCCACTCTTGACTTAGCACATTTAAATGGGGACTGTGATTCTTTATAGAAACATACATGTTCTCTTTTGGGAGTAACATAATACAATCAGTTGTACATGGCTAAATTCAATCAAGATTATATCACGTTTGTTCAAAGTAAATTGTTTTAGGTTTTGGGTACTAAGTTGATTGCAGGATTTGGTGAGTGCAAGTTATAAACAGATTTAAGTGGTTTGTGAATATCAGTACTAATTTCTGTTATGTGATTCTAGTTAAAAACTTGATCCTTATTTTCTTTAATTTTTGTATTTTTTGCATCTTAAAGACTGAAATCCTGTTAGTACAGCTGTCTGCCTAACACTGATTGTGTCACTAGCAGGAGTAATTTTCTCAAATTAATTATTTCCTGTTGATCCCATGGCTCCACTGTAAACTTTTTCATCATGCGAAAACAATGGGAGCTTTTGGACAAGACTTTGCCCTCCTGTCCCACAGCTTCCATGCATGGGAGCCATGGGACAGAAGTAGGAAAATTTCTGAAACTCACTCCCTGCTGATGACATCATCAGTCTTCCACAGGCATAGTTAAGGTAACCGGATTTCAGCCATTGTGTCTTGATATGCTTGTTTTTACAACTTTACCCCTCACATGTCTCTTCCTGAATGTTTTTGTTCGTTCATAGTAATCAGAAGACAGCAAGATGGAGGCTTCTTCAAAGGGGCTCGTTATCCAAGTTATCCCTTCCTGATGATCCCAGAGCTAGGAAGTCCCTATCTTCCCAGTGGAGCCTTGTCCCCAAGTGGTGCCCGAACAGTAAGTGGTTTGCTTAACTTTGAGGTCATAGTGATTGAAGTTTTCCTTCCTTTTCCATGAGAGGAATTGAGATAGATGGGATTCCTTTGTGCCCCTTTACCTCACAAATAAAATAAAATTCTATTATTGCAGGAAAATAAATGTTATCTGAAGAAAATTCTTGCTATATGTACTTCTTCTCCAGACTTGAATCTGAATATAGGCATTTTTTTAAATAATGTCTAATGGTCAGTTTTCGATTAATGGTCATAATGTTTAATGGTCAGTAACGATTTACAGAACCAAAGAGATTTCACTGCTGTTGATGATTATAAATGATTTGGTTTGAATGGAGTTGAACTGAATTGGTGTTAAATGACCAGAAAAGCAATCTTAGAGTTGTGATTGGTACCTTGAAGAGGATGTCGACCTTATAGTTGGGGTCAGGGAGCACAATAAGCAGAAAACTAGCTTGTTGCTTGCTTGATAAACAACAGGAAAGGATTACTATACAGTAGTTCAAATTCAACCAGAAGCTACCCAGTATGGGTCTCTGTGAAAAAGAAACTTCATATTAAGAGCATTAGGAAAAGAATTAAAAGTAAAAGCGCCCCTATGATGTTTAATTTTTATAAATGTTTGATGGTAACCATGCCTGGAATACTATGTATAATTCTAGTCCAGTTCTAAAATGAAGTTGTAGACCTGGAAAATGTGCAATAAAGGGCATCCAGAATGAGTAGCGGACTGGAAGTTGGATAGATGAGTAAAGAAACTAAAGTACATTTCTCAGTGTAGTACTATTAATTTAAAATAGGCAACGAAAAAAGATTTGTGTAGCATGAGGTATTTAGGTATTTTTTACGACCCAGTAAGCTTTCCATACAGAAAATATTTCAAGTAGTATTTTGAAGAGCTGTTTGGGGGTCATATTTGACTCAAATGATGAATGGTGAAGTAACTTAATAAGTTTACACTCTCGTTGTGTGTCAGTGTTAATAAAAATTGTGTGAAATTTTGCCAATTTTGAATCTGTTTTCATTGTTTAGGTTTCTGTTGTACAGTATTGTATTTTGAAATACCTTGTTTTTTAATGCAGGAGAAAATGAAATTATAATGAGGTATAAAATATAAAGAAAGAATAGATTTTATTGTTGGAGGATTTCAGTGAATAATAAACCCATTAGTAAGAAAGGTTACAAACCTTTTGTATCTTGTCTTTGAACTATAGGCCATTCCACTGAATAAATTAGTATTTTTTTTCAACTTGAGAATATATGTCCTGTTGTAAGCACTTTTAAAACCACCACCAGTCCTTGAACATGTTTGTTTTACAAATGGTTCAAGGAGAATATATTTGTTATTCGTTGCATTTTGTTCCTCTCTTGGCTTAAGGAAGAGTAGGGAAGTCAACTTTTGCATCTGACTTAACACTTGACTGTAAATGTTGACTGGCAAAGTAATGAATAAAAGGCTTGGAAAAAGCTAGTCACAACCTCCATTCTGTTGTTTGCTCTGCTTTTCTCCTTTAAGGGGAGGACTTAAGATTTTTAAAAGCTGTTAATGGGCTGACATTGTGTGTCCCTACAGACATTTAAAGAAGTGATTAAGCAAATTGACCAAGCCTTAGACAGCTAATCAAATCCCCCAAGTACCAATTCCAGTTCCAAACTATACAAATGCCATAACCCTCAGGAACTCATTGTGTTCTGTGTTCAGTAAGAATTCTCTGCTCCCATCTTTATCATGCTTAAATATGAATGTGTTCTTTTCATTTGTGTTGTGCCATGACCATCATATCTGCTATCTGTTTCCTCATCAAGAATCTCTACTCTTGTTACTTTATTGTGAAGACCAAGTAATTGCCTTTGAGCTAATGCATACAAACCGAGATGTTTTGTAATGTGAATAAGGTTTTAATAATGATTATGGGGGCTGCCCTTCAGTTAAATAAATCTCAACTCAATTCTGAGTTTTAGTTGAAGAAACTTGATATATTTTCATGAACTGCTTATCAATGATAGCAGTGGTTTGGGAAAAAAACTACTTCCTTTCTGTTTAGATGACATGTAGGATTTATATAACTTTTCTGTGAATTGCAACAGACATTATTTTAGGGGTATTCTCTCTTGTGTGTGAGAGAAGGGGGGATGCCTGTAAGATAGTGCTTACCACCTCCATAAGTAATTGTCTTAAAAATAATTGTTTAAGTTTTGCTGAGGCAGTCAATGTACAGTGGTGCCTCGCTTAGCGATTGCTTCGTTTAACAACGAAATTGCTTAGCAATGACTTTTTCGGAGTGTTTTTACGCTTCGTTTAATGATGGTCCCTATGGGCGATTTTCGCTTAGCGATGGTTGGGACCATGCTTCGCATAGTGATTAAATTTTGGGTCCCCTGTTTCGCTTAACGATGGTTTAAACAGCCTCATGTTTGCTGTTTTAAAAATGTTTTTCTGTTATTTATAAAGTTAAAGTTTACTGTTTAAAATGTTTGAAATCATAAAGTGCACTTAATAAACCCTTTGTTAACCAAATTTGACTTTGTTCTGACTCTTTTTTAATTTGTTGTTGTATTTTTCCCCCCATTGAGATGCATTTCAATTGGGGAACCGCGTTTCGCTTAGCAATGTTTCCTATGGCGATTTTCGCTTAAGGACGGCAATTCATTCCTATACTCTGGGTTCTCTTCAGATCGCATAAATCTTTCGCCTTTCACTGTATTGAGTTTTAAATCTATTAGTATATTTGAGTTTCTTGCTGTGATTGTGCTTCGTGGATGCTAGTAAACCAGATGTTGTCAACCCCCCAGTATGTGGCTCGGTGCCAGTCCCTGGCCTGAGCTCAACCGGGCCGCGAAGACAGACCTCTCGCCCCACCCCCCACGCACTCGCCCCCGCAAAGGCTGTTTGCGCCTGCACGCACGCTTGTGCGCATGTGTGAACAGCAGCGCTTGTGCAGTCGTGCACTCATGCACATGCCCAAATGGCAGCGCTGCCGTCGCACATGCGCATGAACACCGCACTGCCATTTGCACGTGCGTATGAGTGCCGCACTGTCGTTTGCGCATGCACAATAGTGCAGGTGTGTCACGCCTTCCCCAGCCGGTTCGCAGACCAAAAAAGGGTTGGGGACCGCTGTAGTAAACCATAGAAAGGTGGAGTAATAACTGGATAGTTATACTGTGATTATATGGAAATTATTCTGTTAAATTGTAGCCATATGTTGCTGTTGTGTTTCCTGCTAAATAGCACTAAGAAAGCACTAAAAGGGCCATGGTGGCGCTGCGGGTTAAACTGCAGTAGCCTCTGTGCTGCAAGGTCAGAAGACCAGCTGTCGTAAGATCGAATCCACACGATGGACTGAGTTCCCGTCGCTTGTCCCAGCTCCCGCCAACCTAGCAGCTCGAAAGCATGCAAATGCTAGTAGACAAATAGGTACCACCCTTGTGGGAGGGTAACAGTGTTCCATGTCTAAGTCGCACTGGCCACGTGACCACGGAAACTGTCTACGGACAAACGCTGGCTCTACAGCTTGGGAGACGGGGATGAGCACCGCCCCCTAGAGTCGGATACGACTCAACTAAATGTCAAGGGGAACCTTTACCTTTACCTAGCACTAAGAACAAGTGTTTTGGCATGGGATACTGACCTAGAGATCTCTATAGGTCTTATTTATTAGGTCTTATTTTTATTTATTTGCCTTTAGAACTAAAGTGAATAGTTCTGTGTATCAACATGGCATCTAAACATTGAACTTCTTCCGTAGTTTCATAGGTCAGGCATATAATAGTGTGTTCATTTTGTTTACATTTTGGTAGTTGCTTTTTATTTCTCCAGTTATTTCTGATAGTATGAATAGGTTTTTAAGGATCATTTTAGCCATTTCAGTGTTCTATGACTATGTGACATGTATAGTTACAATTTAAATAATAAAAGTGACAGAAATTAAAATATGATTTTCTTGATTCATTCTATTTAATAATCTGAATATAGCTGGGAGAAGGCATATTCCACTGTCCATCTCTGAGTTTCCTTCCTTCCTTCCTTCCTTCCTACCTTCCTACCTACCTACCTACCTACCTACCTACCTACCTACCTACCTACCTACCTACCTACCTACCTACCTACCTACCTACCTACCTACCTACCTACCTACCTACCTACCTATACGGTAAGTCTCTAGCTCCTTACTTATGGAGAGAGATGTTCATGCATGCAGGTAGTATCCTATTCAGTTGCTCTCACTAAGAAACTGTATAATTCAGTAATTTAAATACAATTTAACCTAAATGTGACTGAAGAGATTTAACTGTTCTGCCTCTTCTACAACAATTCCCTATCCTGTCCCATGAAATTAATAAAAATGGAGAAAAGATTCTGTCTGCCTGGGTACTTCTACAGGAGAATGTCTTGATGACCTTATTGATTGCTAAGGGCTAATCCTGTTGTGACAAAAATATCATGAGTTAATTTGCTGCTTCATGAACATGTTTGTACCAGCAGCAACAAGGCAGACAAGGCCACTGTCTGCCAGAGATAACACAACAATGAAAATGGAAACTCAAGACTCTGGTATGGCGTAGGAGAGGAAAATGTGCAGCAGCACATCAGTGCTTAAATGGATTATGAAATGGAATCAAACAGATTTTTCAAATTTTTGTGATCCATCAGCCTGTAAAACAATAGCTCTAGCATTTGTTTAGATTTACCAATCACCTGTAATATATGTTGAAGATAATGCTGAGATGATACCAGTAACGTTCTTGCTTACTCATTTTGATGCTGTACCTGAAGAAATAGTGAGTCAAAATAGCTTTTTAAAAAAATCATACACACAAGATTCCCTCTAAGTTCCGCATGCAACTCTGCGTCTCTCTGTGCAGTGATCATTTCAACCCCTTTGGTTCTGCTTGTGATGTAACCCTGCGCATAGGGGGATAGAGTCAGGAGTGTAAGAGATGGAGCCCTACCCAGCAGGGCTATAAATTAGAGGGTATGTTGCATATACATATACTATGGGG